GCGAGCAAGACGGAAGCTCCTTTGTTCGAATACTGTGACGTGCAGGAGCCGCGGATGCGCACTGATGATGAGTCTCATACCAGGATGAAACGTCCGTCTAGTGCTCCCAGGTTTCTAATGGTGGTCTGACAATGATTGACTGACGATTTGAATGTGTAATAAAACAATTTTTGGTTGAAGTATCTCGATACTAAACAGATTTTGTTCATTCTGTTAGGTGGACCTCAGGTTAGCTTATCTAGCTTCCTTGATGATAACTGACATGAATGCAGATAATCGTGATGTATTTTTCTAAATAACATCTTTTCTATAAGTTGACCGATCAGTGTTACTTTTAGTTCACTAATTTTACCCTTTACTCGAAGGTCATTGATGGTTGTTACATGTAAAGGGGTTATTTCACTAAGAAATTCGATTTCTTGAGTGTAAAGCTTTTCCCTGATCTCATAGATTTCCTCTGCTTTGTTGCATTAAGGATTATTAATATGTCAGATTTAACATATCTGCAAAGATTCAGATTCTAATTAGGATTTCCTGATCAGTTGTAACTACAATGTACTTTAGGGGATCACAAAACTAAATACAACAAACTTATGTATTGAGATATTCTAGAACTAACCCATCAGAAAAAAACGACGTCTGTGTACTCCTGATGAACTAGAGGATCTCCAGACAGGATATTACTTTCGTCAAAATGATAAACTAATCAATCTGAGACAATCATTGAAAACCTGGAAGCTTCCAGGTCGATGATTAATCATTTCAATGAAAGTCAACAATCTCCTCAAGATATCAGAGGTACTACACACAGTCACTTTCATCATTTTATCAAAGCTTTGAGATAATAATGAAGATTGGTTCTCTTGTTGGATGTAATGGTAATTTTTCATACATCTATATTTGACTAGTAGATTACTTTCCAATAACATGATAACACACTTGTACACCATGACCTTAAACACCATTCAGAACCTTAGATGTCCAGGAGTTATATATTTTATGATGGTTAATAAAAATGTGGCGAATGTATGGAATTGGTGAATAGGTTTAGAAACGTTGAGAATGGACATATATATATATATATATATATATATATATATATATATATCGATTGGAACAATGTGACAGGACACTAGATAACTTTTAGAAGCTTGGCACTCAGGTCAATCAGTAATCAACAAACACATCGACATTGACCCAATTTATCAACTAACCAAAAAAATCATATGCGATATAGGATTTCAAAAAACAGATCAGAAGGGGGATACAATCAAAACAAAGGGGCAAATATCGATAGGTTTAAAGTCAACAGCAACCAATCAAGATCGAGGTGAACAGTACAAGCTACGGGTTAAACGTGGAGAAATTCGAATACTCTTCACTTCGCCTATCTGAAGTTTGTGCTAATGATGTTGTTCAGTAGAAGAACAATGATGAAAGCTCAACAATCATAACATCCAGCTCAGAGAACGAAACACCACCAGAATTATCCAACTGAGCTAAAAATTTTCCCCATCATCTCAATATATAGTATTTCAACTCGTTTTTTAAACTTTTAACAGGGTTTTTTAAAATAACCAAAAAATTTTTTAAAATTTTCACAGCGTTTTTTAAAATAACCACAGCATTTTTTAAAAATAACCACAGCGTTTTTTAAAATTTTTTGTAATCCTTAGAATGTCAGAAATAAATAGAAAAAACAACTTGATTTCGAATGAAAAAAGAAAAAGCCTTATAAAAAAAGTTATTGAAGATGGATACAACGTCAAGGATGCGGCATTTCTTACAGATGTAAACTATCAGGCCGCTACAAATATTATAAGGTTGTATAAAAAGGAATCGCGAGTTGAGAAGAAAAAAGACAGGAAAACCATCAAATAAGAAGATATGCGGTGATATTATCAATTTTGTTGAAGAATTGGTAGAATTAAACCCGTTAATAACGATGGTAGAAATTCGAGAAAAAATAGAAAACATATTTTCTATAGGCCTTTCTCTTGAATCTATATATAAGAAGGATAATTTATAGACTTCAGATTACTTTGAAAAAGATTTCTTATATATACATCGGTCAATACAAATTCGGAATCCAGTAAAAACAAACGCCAAATTTATGCTCAAAATTTTATGAACATTCAAGATACATTTATAGAAGTTTTTGTTGATGAATCTTCTTTTTTCAAAAAAATTTTAAAAAACGCTGTGAAAATTTTAAAAAATTTTTTGGTTATTTTTTAAAAAACCCTGTTAAAAGTTTAAAAAACGAGTTGAAATACTATATATACACATATATAGACAGAGAGGTAATTTGTTAGTAATCATACTGCCCCATATTTGGTTGTATTCAAAATTGTCATTTTAGAAGCAATGCTATATACATATATATATATATATTCACACGTTAAGGTGAATATATTAGACAGGAATTCGTTAAAACATTGGATACTTTGTCTTGAAAATTTTTTTTCTTTACCATATACATAATCAAACAAATATCATTCATTAATTAAATAAAGATAATTATTACTAATTATTCGTATGAAAAAAATCAAAATTTTTTTTAATTAAAATAGTAATCAGTAATAGTAATACTTCAAACTGAATACGCATATAACACAATGAGATAAAAATATATGTTAACCTACTTTATGCGATGAGTAAAATCTTTGAAAAAAAAATAATGACTTATTCTTAATACTCTAAAATTCCATTAGATATGGTTCAAAAAAAATTGGTAAGTACAATGACTTATCTATCAATAGAGACAAGATAGATCAAAATGAAGACAGATATGAGAAGAATGGACAAAAGAATTGAATGGAGCTGGAAAGGAAGACCTACGATAGAGTGTTGTAGGTAGTAGAATACTGATCGGCTGTCTATGCTTCATTGGGGGTGACAAGTGTAAGTAAGTAAGTAAGTTAACATTTATTCAGTAGTTTACAACACCTTGGTCACAGATTCGAACCACTCTCTTCGCATACTTTAATTTGGATCAACCAAATTGTCCCACAGTATCGTTCACAATTGAGGATGAAAAAAATGTGTACGTGACAATATGGAATTACACTAACGAACAAACATTCTTACGATCAATGAGCTAACAAGGCAAAAACTATCTTAAGAAGAAATTGTGCAAGACTAATTGATTATGTAATGATTACGATGATTTATCGAAGATCTGAACATATTCACGTCTCGAATCATCTGACTAAGTTTGAACACTTAGGCATAAGAATGAACAGTGAAATATGAATGTTATGATAACAGATAAGCTTTGATGTATAAAAAAAAAATAGGTTACTGATGATTGGTAGGTAGTTCAGACACAATTCTATGGATATTTGGTAATGACAGAGAGAGAGAGAGAGCTTGTGCATAGAATAGAAACGAATTGATGGGAAAACTGTGAAGATTAACTTTTGCCAGTCAGTCAGTCAGTCAGATGCAACGCAGAACTTCGTACGTAAACACATCAGTTCATGTTGCCATACCACATCAGCACAGAGATGTAATTTTCAATTCAAATCCAATAGTAGTAGAGGTAGTAAAAGTATTAGAAGTAATCGGAGAGGTTAGGAACTTTTGCCAACAGCATTACTATACAACATTTAACAAAAAAAACACTGATTTCTGATCATGTTACTTGTTATCAAGACAAATATTCTACGAATCTATTAATGATACCGATATAAAGTTAAAGAAAAAAAATACTTCTCGATTTTTCTTCATAGTCAATTTCAATGAAAATTCTCAACTACAATACACTTAGGGAAAAAAAAACTAGTCGCCCCTCTATGTAGATTACTTCATTTTGTGAATAGGCATGTATGTTGTCAACTTAAATCTCAACTGACTAAATCATTATTATAGATGATAATATCATGTAGTTTATTTTCATAGATCAGAAAATAAGTAAAGTCTAAGAAAAGTTTTCAAATGTGTAAAAACGCAAACCTCCAAAACTCTGCCCCAAAATATCGTAACAGTGCTCACTAGTGACTAGCTTCTTGGTGAAGAAATTCTCGGAGTTCTAGTTGAGAAGACGTGACCAATGAAGTTCAACCCTGTTGGGTGTACGCAGTAACTACCAAAAACAAATGGGTGAGGTCGCGCAAAATCCCTAGATCAATTAGAGTTAGACATTAAAACACCGTTGGATGCCGGCCCAGTGGTCCGATGGTAAGGCGTTCGCCTACTATGCCAAAGGTCCCGGGTTCGAATCCTGCGAGGAGCAGGAGTCATGGGTGCGCACTGCCACCAATGAGTCTCATACCAGGACTTGACGGCCGTCCAGTGCTTCCAGGTATCTGATGGTGGTCTAACAATGATTGATTGATGATTCCAAATGTGTAAAAACGCAAACCTCCAAAACTGTGCCCCAAAATAAGAAAAGTTTGTATAAACTGCAAATATACAGGTTACATTGATTTCCGTACACTGATATCGCTGTAAACTATTACAAACATGAGTAAATCATAGAAATCTAACTAGAATTATGAGTTAGGAGGGAATGAATACAAACAGATACATAATTTACCTATTCAAGAATAGAAAAACGTATATATACTATAACTATACATTTACACGTTGAAATCATCAATCAATCATTGTTAGACCACCATTAGAAACCTGGAAGCAATGGACGGCCGTCAAGTCCTGGTATGAGACTCGTCAGCGCGCGTCCACGACTCCTGCACCTCGCAGGGTTTGAACCCAGGAGCTTCAGACTTTTGCACGAACATCCAACCTCTGAACCGATATCCAACGGTGTTAATGTCTAACTCTGATCAATCTAGAGATTTCGCACTTCCTCACCCATTTGACTTCGGTAGTTACTGCCTACACACAAGGGAGTTGAACTCCACCGTTCACATCTTCTTACTAGAACTCTGAGAATTTTCTCACGAACACAGTCACTATATATATATATATATATATATATATATATATGACAATTATTACATTTACAAAATCAAATGTCATTTTCATATACTTACACCAGTTGATTGAATTAATATATGATCACTGCCAGGTACAGCTGAAGTTGGTCCTTGAATAAATGCAATATAAAATATTGATGAATAATAATTAACAAATTGTAATAAATATAATTTCAATGTTAAACTATTATCATATTCCACTTGTGTACGATGATGTTCAATATCAGTTAATTTTGTAGCCATACGATCATAAACCTAGTAGGAAAAAATTAGAAATAAGATAGTTAGTTTGATATATATATTTTGATGAAATAGTTTTCACATTAATCAAAGATATGTAAAAAAAATATTTCTTTAAAAAAAGATGAGCGTGTGAATATTTGTCAATATCTTAATGGCTAACAATATCTACAGTGTGTTTTCATCTCTTGTTTGAGAAAAAGGTATGAAGTAGTCAGCATAAACACAAATCGACCTTGGTTTCAAGCTAGTTCGGAATGCTCTGACATGTTCACGTGCATATGGTCACTACATGAGAAGTTCTACTGACTGTCTTATCGTGGCGAGGGTGTTATTTACGCAATTGACGAAAATATTAATGTGAGGATGGGTTTATACTGGGTTGATGGGTATGGAAGATCTACGTGTGGGGAGTATGGAAAACACGTGTGCTACACGATCCTCAGGCGAAAAACGGCGTACAAATTCATTGTTGGTCACCGGCTACAATGGGACCATATATTATAATGTTGTTATATTGCCTAATAGATTAAAACTTGAGGAGAAGCTTACTAGGAAGACCACTTGTTTCAGTTTGCGTATTTGGGCAGTACACCAGCCCGCTCACTAAATCAATGACTTGTATGGTGCACATAAATTTAGGTGCTTCTTTCTCCTAAAGTTTGTATGTTTAGACAGATAATTAACCGCCTAGTGCCTGCCTTATTTCCCGTTCAGTTGTGAGAATATAAAAAGGCAACATTTGACATTCAAGGAATTACTACTACTCAACTAATGCACGTGGAAAGCTTACAATAGGTGATTTTATGATGGGCTCACATCATATGCATGTACGTATATTGGTTTGTTCTTCTGACATACAAGAATATGTAAGCGGAGACCGTGAACACGTATATAATCAACCGCCTCCAATAGACTACCTTGTATACATACTTTCTCAATTATCTTTCAACCATAAGATATAGACATATATATATCTTATAACTAAAACCTAGTTTCATTAAGAAGCATACTGTACAAACTGAACAGACAACATATACAATGGTATTACAAAAAACACAGGAAAATTTAGAAACCCATGACAGAAAAAACCCAATGCAATAAGAACAATAGATAGAAATGCTTACAGAGCAAAAAAAGACCACAGAGATTCTTATATCATATTAAATAAACAAAATCAATGTTATACTTACTAATTTTAAAAAGAATATCACAACTAAATTAACAAATGATCCAGTCATTGTAGCAATCATACCAGCATTACTTTGTATCATTGGATTATGATGACGATAGAGAATTGCTTTAATGACTAATTTATATAAAACTACACCGACAAGAAAAGCCAATGTAAGTAATACCTGTGAGAAAATGGAAAAAAAATATGTACACAATCAACAACAACAACAACAAAAGATCAATATGGTAAATTTATCATTATTAAGCTCTAAAGGCAAAACTATCCAACCTTTAACTCTATTTCAACAACAAAACCAAAAAAAAAAAGAAATTCAACTTTTTAAACAAAATATATATTTATTTTATGAAACCATGAATCAAACAATGTTAGACCACCACCATTAGAAACCTGGAAGCACTGATGGACGGCCGTTTCGTCCTGGTATGGGACTCCTCAGCAGTGAGCATCCACGACTCCTGCCCCTCGCAGGATTCGAACCCAGGACCATCGGTATTGTGCGCGAACGCTCTAACCGTTAGACCACTGAGCTGGTATCTAATGGTGTTATTAAAATAAAAGTGTACACAGTAGTAGTACTACAAAAGTTTAGGAATGAATTCGACGATTAAAAAAAAAAGTATTAGATAAATTTTAAAACTCAAGATTCAAAACCAATGGAGTGAACGGAACTGTACTAATTTGACTCATTTTAAGCCATTTCAACCAATAGCATACTCACACCAAGCAGTAATGATAATCACGAAGAAACCCAAACTGGTAAGCTGCACTTATCAACATACTTTAATCAAACAGTTAGTGATTTTATAGTCTGATGTTTCGAATAACTACATCTTTTCAAGTTTAACAGTTAAGAATCCTATGCGTTGCGGGTATGAGAGCGGATGTCGCTTCCCGGATAACCACAACGTGGAAGGGCGTTCCTTGAAAGTCCGAATAGGAAATAGGATTAGTGTTGATTTTAGTGACCAGATACCCCAACGGACAACTACTTCAAGCCGGTCACACATGGCATTTTTATGGGATTTTTTGAAGTGTTAGCTCCGCTCTTCAAAAAACCTTACAACCGGAGACGGAAATCCGTGAGATAATGTGACGTATGACATTTCTAGGGTCGACCTTTTCTAACCCTCCCTTCCTTGAGGGAAGGCAGCATCGCTGCTGATGCTGGATGTCCTAGGGAAATACCTTACTGCTGTCACACCCCTCTACAGTCAGCAGTACGACTTCGCCCTCAGACCTTGAGTTGATGCTTTTAGTCTCACCGTTCTCCAATCAACCTGCATGGCATGGTAGGACATAAAAGGACATACGTTCTAGGCAATATAGCTCGGTTGGGTCATCGCAACAGGCAAGCCTGATCACCACTTCAAGGTAGCAGCTACGATCGGGAAGAATAGTATAGAAAACATATGAACACCCTTCATAAAGAAGAAGATACGTAGCAACTTTTAAAAGAACCGGACAGAGATGCAAAGCCAGTAAGGAAATGTTTTGTGGTTTCAGGTTTTTGGTATTTTCGAATGTACATCAAAAGTTTAAGATTTTGATGATATCATATTCAGACTGTAAATGGCATGAAATTTTTACTATACTCAATGTTCCACATTACGCGATTCAATAGAACTCGTTATGAGTGTAGTTTTCAGTGTTTGATGATAATGATGATTGATTAGGGTTTACAATTTTCCATTGATAATATTCAGTACTATTATTGATCAGTTCCTATCGCATGTGTGCACCCTACAAGAATTACCTTGTTATAGCGTTATGCTACGTTTACAGCAAAAGGTATTGGGTCTGAGTCATAGTCTGAACATTTGTACACTGGGACGTAACATGTACATTCAGTTGACTAGGCATGAAATAAGACGAAATCTAAATGCTGAATTCGATTCACTGTCAGTCAAACACTAAATATACTAAAAAAAATCCCAGAAACCTAAAAGATACCTGAATCATCAGAATATTTGGTATCTGTTGAGTGCTTAATTGACTGGCTAATTGGGATCGTGATTTAGAAGACTCAAGTTAAGAACACAAACAGAATAGAGAATTTATATATCTCATAAAATAAAACAAATGAAAATAATGATTGATTAGGGTTTACAATTTTCCATTGATAATATTCAGTACTATTATTGATCAGTTCCTATTGCATGTGTGCACCCTACAAGAATTACCTTGTTATAGCGTTATGCTACGTTTACAGCAAAAGGTATTGGGTCTGAGTCATAGTCTGAACATTTGTACACTGGGACGTAACATGTACATTCAGTTGACTAGGCATGAAATAAGACGAAATCTAAATGCTGAATTCGATTCACTGTCAGTCAAACACTAAATATACTAAAAAAATCCCAGAAACCTAAAAGATACCTGAATCATCAGAATATTTGGTATCTGTTGAGTGCTTAATTGACTGGCTAATTGGGATCGTGATTTAGAAGACTCAAGTTAAGAACACAAACAGAATAGAGAATTTATATATCTCATAAAATAAAACAAATGAAAATAATGATTGATTAGGGTTTACAATTTTCCATTGATAATATTCAGTACTATTATTGATCAGTTCCTATTGCATGTGTGCACCCTACAAGAATTACCTTGTTATAGCGTTATGCTACGTTTACAGCAAAAGGTATTGGGTCTGAGTCATAGTCTGAACATTTGTACACTGGGACGTAACATGTACATTCAGTTGACTAGGCATGAAATAAGACGAAATCTAAATGCTGAATTCGATTCACTGTCAGTCAAACACTAAATATACTAAAAAAAATCCCAGAAACCTAAAAGATACCTGAATCATCAGAATATTTGGTATCTGTTGAGTGCTTAATTGACTGGCTAATTGGGATCGTGATTTAGAAGACTCAAGTTAAGAACACAAACAGAATAGAGAATTTATATATCTCATAAAATAAAACAAATGAAAATAATGTTAGAGTATGTACATTTTTACAAAATTTATTAACAATCCGATTTGTGTTAATTGAACTGAGTAGTGAGTGAGTAACGCCAATTAATCGATAAATTACTTTTATTCAACGCAATTTACATCAGGAAAGAATTTCGCTTATGAACGAATAATTATCAACAAAAATGAACTTTAATTTCAATAACATAATTACAAAAAAATTTATTTATTTAATAAAATTTTTAAGTTTATGATGAAGTAGATTTTATTATTATTATTATTATTATTAAAAAGTCTAACGATATTATTCAATTATTTCATTGATTAGAAATAAAAATCGAGAGAAAAAAAAGTAAACTAGATTGAAATAAATCTACGGTTAAAAAGTGAATAAAAATTGAAACAAATGAATTTTTTTCTAAGAATTGGATTATAGTCAAATTAGATTTGAAAATACTTAGAAGAAATACACAAGATGGTATTTTGTTACGACCAAAACTCATACATGAACTTTTAGGTTTAAATTAGTACCACAAAACAAATAGTAAAACTATCAATGGGTCAGTCAGTCAGTCAACTAGCTACAACCAAGAACTCTGTACGTTACGGGTTCGTAGAGATAAGAGAGATATTAAGGGGTGTAAGAAGGATTTGATTTTGACCAATTCGGTCTCTCATGCTGTAACGGGTATGAGGGCGGTTGTCACTTCCCAGCTGCTCACACCGTGGAAGGTTTTTTCTTGAGGAACCTGAAAAGGAAGATAGATTAGTGTTGGTCTTAACGACCTGGGTGCGTGACCGCAGAGTTCAAGGGACAATTGCTTGAGGCCGGTCATGCACGGCCTTTTTATGAAGGGTTTTCTGAGTATTAGGTCCGCTCTTGAAAGCCCTTAAAGGGCACCCTTACCGACGGAGACGGAAATCCGTCAGGTAGGGTGAGGTGTGAAATTTTCAGGGTCGACCTTTTCTAACCCTTTCTTCCTTGTGAGAAGGCAGCATCGCTGCAGATGCTGAATGTCGGAGGGAAACACCTTACTGCTGTCACACTTCTCTGAAGTCAGCAGTACAACTTCGCCCTCAGACCTTGAGTAGTGATTTGTGCTTTGTTCCAACCTACTCCTATACCACCAGTTTTGTAACTAGCCTGGATTTATCGAGTCTACTCTTCACGAGCTCTAGTTGGGCGTCGAAGTATTATTATCAATGGGTATGTATATGATTAATGTTAGAAATTTATAACTCTTATTAAAATCTGTTGAAGCTTGAAATTGCTAATTTACAAAGCTAACAACAACACTTTTCTAGATTAGAACCTCGAAACTAACTTTGTTTTAATCTACATAATCAGGATGCATTGATGGACAGGTCAAACCAGAATACAATATATACTCATATCGATTTCATTGATAAACATGCTAAATCAGTCATCACTAACTTATGAGAAAGCAATACAAAACATATTATTGGCCAATCAGAATAAAGTAAATTGTAACCTATTGCAATCGATGAATTATCATGTAACCTAATCGATCTCTTTTTTTGCAACCTTATACGCGCAGCATATAGGAATTCGGAAATAATAATCGTATATAGGAAATAATAAAAATGAAACGACAACAAACTAGTAATTAAACATACAAATAAACAAACAGATAAACATAAACTGACAGAAAATCAATGAATAAGGGAAACAGCTTTTTTTAAAGGAATTATTGATACAATGCCTGAAAATAAACTTGATCGATATGTCTATATATATATATATATATATATATATATATATATATATATATATGTATATTACGGATCTGTGAAGACTGATAAGTTACATATTTGAAATCATGAATCGACTAAAGTTAGACCACCATTAGAAACTTGGAATCACTGGACGGCCGTTTCGTCCTGGTATAGGACTGCTCATCAGTAGTGCGCATCCACAACTCCTGCACCTCACAGGATTCGAACCCAGGACTTTTGGTCTTGCCCGTGGATGAGCACTGCTGATGAGTCCCATACCAGGACGAAACGGCCGTCCAGTGCTTTCAGTCAGTCAGTCAGTCTGATGCAACGTGGAATTTTGTACATCAGTTCAGGTTGCCATACCACATCAGCACAGAGATATAATTGTCAATTCAAATCCAATAGTAGTAGAGGTAGTAAGGGTATTATGAGTAATCGGAGAGGTTAGGATTAGAAGATACTATTCAAGAAGTATGATTCAGTGAGAAAAGTTTAGAAAATCAAAACTAGAGGTGTTGAAGAATCCAGAAGATTAGGATTTGAGAGAACACAAAGAATAAATGCACTGGCGCCATTGCGAACGATTTTGAGCCATGGCATTCAAGGTCTCTAACCATCGATTATTATCATCTCGCGGACCCCAACCAGGTAGTCGACAATTACCGACATGACTAAGTCCACTCGTCAATGACTTGATGGATTTCTGCCATGTTTCGGTCTGGCCGCCCCTAACTTTCTTCCAACCTATTCCTACACTACAAAACAAAGCTCTTCGAGGCAGTCGGTGGTTAGGCATACGCAGCACAGTGCTTTCAGGTTTCAAATGGTGGTTTAACTTTGGTCGATTCATGATTTCAAACGATATATATATATATATGTATAATGAAACATGACATTTCAAAATCATATAATGCAATAAAAGTACCGCTTAGTTAAGCCTCACACGAAACAGCCTCAACCTTTTTTTGAATACACAAAAAGCTGATTTCGTCAACCACACTCCTAGAAGCTCTTATCCATGAACATGAAATTTCTCTATGATTTTTGAACAAATAATTGCAGCGAACAGGATACTATCAGAAATGAAGAGAAATTTCACATTTCCATGGTACAAACTACGTTTCGTGTCTACTGACACTGATCGTCAAATGAAATATAGGAATTTGAGTAGTTGATGTTTCATGTTACATGATAACATCAACATAATTAAGATTCTTCTATGAAAATGAAATCCACAGTTCATCCAGTTTTTACCTTTAAAGCTACTTTCAGACGACTATTGCTAAGTTGGCTAATATTTACCAACCATTATGCATCAGTGCTTAGTACATTTGACTTTTTGAGTGAATTAAAAACTTGGCTGTTTTCATTTGAAATATTTCAAAAAAATATATATATATATATATATATATATATATGATTTCAACGAGCATGTTACAATTAGTGAGTTAAAAACAATAAGAATAAAAAAAACGAAATAAAAAGTAATCTAAAAAGAGAATAATTACAGCGCATATGCATAGATATTTTATACAAAAATAATACAACTTACAGTTAACAAAACAGTAGAAAAACTGATAAAAATAATTGGTAATTTACGTCGCCAAAATGGAATAAAAGGTTCCACATACTATAGAAAAAAAAGAATAAGAAATTAGTAATGAATGCCATTAACTATTTATCATTGATTATAACTAGCAGGAAGTACTCATTAAACAGCTTGCTTTATATGTAAGTTAGTAAGGCGGTTTTGAAGGTATATATACACTCATGAACTACCTGACTAGGAGGATTGAGTCTAAAAACTCCAAGTTTTAGAATAATCATATAAATCACTGGACCAGAGTGTTGGGGATGTTAGATCCCCAAAACTCGCTCGTTAAATGCCTTATTTTGGATTTCACGTTTGCCAACATGGGCTGATCAGTTGACCTTGAGATTTAAATTCCCACCACGAAAATCCGTGTCTGTGATTGGCTGTTGTGTATTTTAGTGTGCTATTTTCCTATCTGTCCCAAGGACGTTTCTATGATGTATAAATAAACGAGAGTTGTGTGTTTGATTGTATTGTGATTGCTGTGTGTTTGTAGAATATACTTTCTACGCTTACAAAGCCTTTTTACTTCAGCTTGGGATTCAAGGTAGCCTACCTGGACGCTGGTAAAAGTTTCGTTCGCGTTTATCGACTAAGGTAAACTCGTAATAGCCTCAAGCATACTTAGTGACGAGCATAACACAGAGCCAAATGGTACACACTTACTACTCCAATCAAAAAAACATAATTAATAAACTAAGATCACGGTTTAGAGATTTTGTTGAGTAGAGCTAGATTCCAATTTTTGTACATTAACAAGAAACTTTGATAATTTCAATCTGAATACTATAGAAACCATAATCGTTATAAATCTGTGTTACTCTCTCTTTCTCTTTCAACTAAGAATGTAAACAAAGTTATAGTACAAATCATTTTTATTGGCTGCTTGAATCTTCCCATTGATGTGTAAGTCAGTGGTTATCTGAAATCAGTAGCTAGCTAAGTGAATAATACGATATCAATTGAAACAAACAGTAAAGGATTCAAGTTTCGGAGTAAACATCAACTCTGGTATGCACGAGCACTTAGCTGACGCGCGTCCTGGATTCCAACTGCTAGCTGATACGCTATAATCCATTGAATAAAACTTCATGTTTATACAAATTTATTGACAATCGTTTAAAAGAGCCTGATAAAACAGAATAGACTCAAAATGAAGAGAATTAAGCAGTAAAATAATCACAATAATGAATTTATACTTACCCCAGTTAAAGGGTTCACTTTTCGAGGGCATTTTTTATTGATTAATGCCATAAATTCTGGTCTAGGCGGTTGATCCATTGGTTCCAGTGTGTATACATTCCAACGATAAGCTAATGAGACTTGTTTACGTTTCCACATCTCGAAAAATATCACAGCTATTTCAAAAAAAATATGAAAGTATGTAGAGACATAATTCTATACAATTCATTCTTCTATTCAATAAATATGTTGAGCCCATATGGCTTGTCCGAGACTTTGGACAAATTAATTAATTCGTTTTTCTCAAGTTGTTATTCACACATCTCTCGACCATATCAATTACTCGCTGATAATCATGGTTGTGATTAATCGGGTGTACGGCCATGCTTACTTCACTTATAGCAATGGCTGGCTTCTTTCTGTGTGGGTTCACTAGTGACTAGCATGATGAGGAATCTTCTCCGAGTTCTAGTGGGAAGTCGTGACCAGTGAAGTTCAAACCAGTTCGGATGTATACAGTGTATGAGTTTGCGCAACTCCGTGAATTTGATTAAGTTACAGATTAACACCGTCAGACACCGTCTCAGTGGTCTAACGGTTAGGGCGTTCGCGCACAATACCGGGGGTCCTGGGTTCGGATCCTGCAAGGTGCAGGAGTCGTGGATGCGCACTGCCAGTATGAGTCGCATACCGGGGCGAGACAGCCGTCCAGTACTTCCAGGTTTCTAATGGTGGTCTAACAATAATCGGTTCATTGTTACAAATATAAATATTTAATCATGCTTCAGCGCATGGAGTCGGCACATTCGTCTTCTCTAATTCGCCTTGCTTTGCCTATTCGGTTTGCATTCCCATGTGTCTGCTTAAATGAATTCACGAAACAAATTCATCCGAATGAATGTCGATTCGGTCTTTTATTACCGCTGTCGCACAAACGGAGTTTGCATATGCATGATATATGGAAGTCGAAGGGAAGATTACTCGAACATTTGTCCAAACTGCAGTTAGATCGTAGGCCACTAAAAGATGTTCTTAACTTGAAAGTGGAATATTTTCTACAATCTAGACGAGAATCGACAAACAAAAGTTCCAATAAAATTATCATTTTAGAATTCTAAAGTTGAACCAGTTACACCCTAAAACTTGAAATTCTAGGGGCTGATTCGTAATAACATCTTAGAATTTCCAATGAACACCCGTGAAATTCAAACTTTATCATCAGTTAGAGTTGTAATAAATTACCTCAGTTAATTTCCTTTCTGTCTACTTATTTATTGTTGGTAGGTTTGTGATAAAGTCACTGAATGTCAGTCAACCAATCAATCACTGGTAACGTAAAACTACGTACGTACGTACGTACATCAGTTCAGGTTGCCATACCACATTAGCACAGAGATTTATTTATCAATTCAAATCCCATAGTAGTAGAGGTAGTAAAAGTAATAGCAGTAATCGGAGAGATTAGGATTCGACAATATTACTCAAGAAGTAGAATATAGTGAAATAAACTCAAAAAGATAAAGATAAAGTGATGAGGAATTCGGAAGGTTACGATTTGAGAGAACATAAGGAATGAATGTATCTGCGTCATTACAAGCGATTTTGAGCCATGTCATTCAAGGTCTCTAACCATCGATTATTATCATCTCGCGTACCCCAACCAGGTAGTCAACACCTACCAACATGACTCAATCCAGCTGACAGTAACTTCATGGATTTCTACTGTTCTGGTTTGGCCACCGCTAGCTTTCGTTTAACCTATTTCTACACCGCAAAATATAGCTCGACGAGGCAGTCGGTGGTTAGGCATACACAACACATGTCAATCAATGATGATAAGAAATGACCACAATATTTGCCCATTAGGCATATCTAGGATTCTAAAACACAGGAAAATTTAGAAGTGCACTAAACAACTAAACGTAGTTGACTGGAAACTCTGCTTTATAAAGTTTCAATGCTAGTTTGGACTCGTTAGTAAAATTTAACTGAATTCATTGATGGAACTAATATCCCTGTACCAACTAAACATCGGTCATCCAATTGCTTAGTCAGACACTTTACCATTGAGGTGCTCAAGCTGCAACTGACCTCCTAGAGGACTAGGATATTTACAGCTAAGCGATAAACAAGTAGTGACTAACATCATGTTTTTTTCAAGAACTTTTAAGTTTTAATCAATCAAAAAGATTAGAAATGTATCAAACATCCAGATAATACATATTCCACACACCGTTATTCATATAGAAAATAGACGAAAAATTAAATTTTTAAATACAAAAAAAATATAAAACTGTTGAACATATTAATAAAGAGAAAACACACACATACCCCATAAAGACATAACCACAGCGAATACAACAGTTCCTTCATGATCCACTAATCTCATTAATTTAGTGCGTAAACAAGATTTGTCCAGAGTCCAAAAGCTACATTTCGATGATTTACATAATGGACACATATATGTACCATGACCAAGATCACAAACTTCATGACTTGAAAACGAGATCGATATTACCAACAACAACAAAAAAAACACAAGCGAAGTTGTAGAATGTGTGGTAAAAAAAGTTTTAACTGATAAAATGAACAAATGAAAATGTTTGTTATAAATTAATTATTCATATATTTCGACATTGCTCGTATATCCTGGGACACCCGAGTGAGTGACGCTGTTATTAGGAATCGGGTGCTAGGCAAGAATGGCAGATCAATAGATGAAGCATTGAAACTTCATCAGTTGAGGTAGTTGGGACATGTGTTACGTATGCCCAACCACCGACTGCCTCGGTGAGCTATGTTTTGTGGTGTAGGAGTAGGTTGGAAGAAAGTTAGGGGCGGCCAAACCAAAACATGGCAGAAATCCATGAAGTCATTGACGAGTGGACTTAGCCATGTCGGTAATTGTCGACTACCTGGTTGGGGTCCGTGAGATGATGTACTTAATGTACGTAAGTACATTAAGCATGTCAGTCAGTCAGACGCAACGTAGAACTTCATGCGTACGTACATCAGTTCAGGTTGCCGTACCACATCAGCACAGAGACGTAACTGCCAGTTCAAATCCATAGTGGTAGAGATAGTAGAAGTATTAGCGGTGATAGGGAAGATTAAGTTTCGAAGATATTATTAAGGAAATATGATTCAGTGTAATAAATTTAGAAAGAGAAAGATAGAGGTGATAAGGAATTCGGAAGATTAGGATTTGAGAGAACACAAAGAGTGAATGAACCTGCATCATTGCAAACGATTTTCAGCCATGTCGTTCAAAGTTACTATCGTCTCGCGGACCCCAACCAGGTAGTCTACATCTACCAACATGACTCAGTCCACCTGTCAGTGACTTGATGGATTTGTGCCATGCTTTGGTTTGGCCGACCCTAGCTTCCTTCTAACTTATGCCTACACCACAAAACATCGCTCGTCGAGGCAGTCGGTGGTTGGGAATCCATAACAGGGGTAGCGCACGTCTGGAATTCGACAATAAAACTCGTTTTTCAATCCTTGATCAAATACAATTTTTTTACTGAACTTTTAAGCATACCATGAGATGATTAGTGACATTTTACACAGGTCTTTCCAACCAAAGTAAGGTAAAGTGGAGGTATCAACTTGTAATGTATTGAATGAAAGTTGAAAAATACAACTTATAAGACACTACCACTTTAACCTAAAATAATAAGTGTGAGTCCTATTATCCATATACCATAGAAGCTTGATACCACCTCCCTACAATTTAAATAACGAATACTTAGTGATCAGGAAATCCTAACTACTTAAAAGAAAGTTACTTCAATCCAAATAACCAAATAAAGTTTGCTGAGCTCTTTCACTAACGCATCTATCAAAATCATTTACTGTTTTGATGATGATTATAATGAATGTTTTTATAATTTGATGCGTCATTCATTTACTCAGGATTTGGGTTTCGAAAAATTGGACACTGACATGAATAAAACAATCGTCGAATTAGAAAATCTGCTTTCATTTGAAAATTGAAGTATATCACGTAACAAAACCAAATCCAAGAGAAAGTCATATTTTGTATAAAAAATTAAACGATTAAAATTAAATAACTACAACATTTTCTTAAACGCCTAGTCGTGTGACGGATGCTACTCGCAAAGTGGCAAATAAGTATTATGCCGTGGAGTGTCGCTCGAAAATTGCTACCAGAGAGTCTGGAAATCAAAATGCATGACCCGATCAGAATAAACTGAAAACTAGAAGCGGTGTAACAGAACAAAGTCAATAATCGGCTTGTATTGCAAATGAATGTCTCAAGATTATGTGTACAAATTTCGTAAATAAACTCTATCTTCCCCAGATATATATACTCCATTTAGTCTTGACGTACTTGTTTAGAAAAATACTCAAAAGTCAAAATAATCAAATACAGATGAAGTTACAAGACAAGTATACATTATAAACGATTGTAACGATAGGCTGGCAAAAAGCTGGAGGTGGCCAAACCAAAACATGGCAAAGAATCCATGAAGTCACTGAAAAATGGATTGAACTATGTTAGTAGTAGGTGTAGACTATCTTGTTGTGGTCCGACAGGCAATCGTAATCGGTGGTTACAAAATTTGAATGAAATGGCTCAAAACTGCTTATTTTCTCCCAAATTCTAATCTTCTGAATTCTTCATGACATTTTTTTCTGTTTTTAAATTTATTCCACTAGGATTTACGTCTTGAATTATAACTTCGAACCCTAATCTTTTTCATTACTGCTAACACTTTTAATACATCTATCACTATGGGATCTGAATTGACGATTCCATCTTTTTTTTGAAACCATGAACCGATCAACGTTAGACCACCATTAGAAACCTGGAAGCACTGGACGGCCGTTTCGTCCTGGTACGGGACTCCTCAGCAGTGCGCATCCACGTGAATTTGATCAAGTTAGACATTAACACCGTTAGATGCCGGCTAAGTGGTCTATCGGTCAGGGCGTTCGCGCACAATACCAAAGGTCCTGGGTTCGAATCCTGCGGCGTGCAGGAGTCGTGGATGCGCACTGCTGAGGAGTCCCGTACCATGACGAAACGGCCGTCCAGTGCTTCCAGGTTTCTAATGGTGGTCTAACATTGATCGGTTCATGGTTTCAAAAATGTGTAACTTAACAATCTTCACAACCTCGTAATACAGATTCCATCTTTCTATGTTAATATGATAGGGCAACTTGAACTGTGATATACGTACATACGAAGTTCTACGTTGTAGCTGACTGAGTAAAACAAGTGTTGAACCATATTAATATGTTACATATAGTTTCTCGTATTTGATATTGTGAGTAGTTTGATGTGAAATATGTTCAAATTGTAATAAATATAGATAAATATATATACGTACATGTATGCAATTGTTATATGAAAATGAAAACAAATGACTATATATATGTTAGTAGGCTATTTTGTTTAAGGCCGAATTAATTATTCTCATTGAATCTGTCAAAGCACGTATAGATTGATTGACAATCATCAATAAATAATTTTGTGTGCTTATTCCAAAATTTCTACAAAACTATTTTTCTCAGAGTAAAATGTATCTGATGCTTTGACCTTAACTATTGCATAAAACACATTTGACTACAATTACGTGAGAAACAACACAAAGAAAATAGGTAACCCAAGTAAAAGTGATTATATTTATGACTTCATTCATACAACACTATTTCAGATAAGGCTAATCAGACAATGAAAATTCAATCGTTGAAATCAAATTGTTAGAAATACGCAACATTAAACCTGGGCATATGTGTGCATCAGTGAAGGCTGTCACACCAACAGACCTAGTTATTTGCTTCAAAAAATAGAATTCATTCATATAATAGGATAAATTGTCATTAAAATTACATTTTTTTAGTTGTTTAATAGTGCATTATTGCTGAATGCAAAGAATTTCGAAGACAGCCCTTTGTTTCAACATGACTAAAACTCGTCGTCACATAGCGAGCTGCAAAAACTCAACAATAAAGTTTGATAATTAAAGACCGATTAATATATTGGATATTGTATAGTGTTTTTTGTATTATGAGGAAGCTACAACAACTCCCACACTTTCAGAATCAAAATCGATACGCGTTGATCCGAATAAATACGCGAAGTACTTATGAAAACTAATATAACTTGAGACACTAAGCACTAATTGCGATGTGATGCCAGATTAGACATTCAACTTAAGTGGTGTAAAATATTAAAAGAACTATATTCAAGGAATCCTATAAGTGATAATTTGTAAAAGCCATATTTATAGTTTGATTTCACAGAACACAACTGAGCGTAAATAAAAATTAAAGTTGTTTTTAGTTAGAACACTGCACCGAACAATGAGTATTGGAGATTTTCTATAACATGAAGTCCAGATCAAAGCTTTAGATACACCATGCTAACAATTAAATCACTGAATTTTCGAGACTACATAATAATTCTTGACAGTGAAAAACGACTCTCAATCAACACACTGTAAACATAATCATCCATAGTTATTGCTTTCTTCAAAATGATCTTAGAATTTGATTACAGTAAGAATACAATTTTCCATGATAGAGTTATGCAGAATGTTGTTTTATAATGGTATCGTAAATCAGTCATTGTCAGACCACTGTTAGAAATCTGGAAGCATTGTTGAAAAGTCCCATATTAGGACGAAACGGCTATCGAGTGCTTTCAAGTTTTTGATAGTGATCTAACAATGATTGATTCAAGAATTCATTGTAAGAATACAATGTGTTAAGTTATATTAAAGATAGTACCAAAGATAATGAAAAGCTGTAATTATCAAAAAAAACTTTATGCATGTACAAGTATAGCAATCCTATACAAAAAAAATTTACATAAAATCAAATTTCTGACCATTAGTAAGTTGAACAACAGGTACAAACACGTGGACAATATACATACATAGATGTATATATATGCACTTGCATAGATAACAGTTGACGTGAAAACGTTTAAAAACAAATTATTGATTAAGCTGTAGATAATATTTAACACTATATTTCATTTTGGTTCTTTAATGAAAAAAAGTCAAACAAACTAGAATGATTGATAATTAGTGAAAAGAAGTTTTTGAACGAAAACAACAGATCTTTAACGGCTTCATTCTACCATTTGTTTAGGGAGTCTCATCAGTGCTGATAGCCTGGTGACTGACGAAATCTCAGCTCAGATACAGAAGGCTCGATTGGCTTTTGCCAACCTGCGTCATTTATGGCGTAGGCGTGATATCAGTTCGCTGACCAAAGAACGGGTGTACTGCGCAGCAGTTCGCTCCGTTCTCCTATATGGCTGTGAAACATAGCCGTTAAGAGTAGAAGATATTCGTAGGTTACTAGTATTCGATCATAGATGTTGAAGAAGCATTACTCGAGTAAGCAATGCTCTCGTTAGGAAACGGGTGCTAGGTAAGGACGGCAGATCAATTAATGAAGTGGTGAAACTTCACCAGTTGAGGTGGTTGGGACATGTATTACGTATGGCTAACCACCGACTGTCTCGACGAGCTATGTTTTGTGGTGTAGGTGTAGGTTGGAAGAAAGTTAGGGGAGGCCAGACCAAAACATGGCAGAAATCCATGAAGTCACTGACAAGTGGACTGAGTCATGTTGGTAGATGTAGGCTACCTGGTTGAGGTCCGCGAGACGATACTAACCGATGGTTAGAGACCTTGAATGACATGGCTCAAAATCGTTTGCAATAGCGCAAGTGCATCCACTCTTTGTGTTCTCTCAAATCCTAATCTTCTGGATTCGTCAACACCTCTACTTTTGTCTTTCTAAACTTATCTCACTGAATTATACTTCTTGAATATTATCTTCAAATCCTAATCCTCTTCAATGTCAGTAATTCTTCTACTACCTCTACCACTATGAGATTTGAATTGACAATTGCATCTTTGTGCTAATGTGGTATGGAAACATTAACTTATGTTCATACGTTCGAAGTTTTACGTTGCAACTGGCTGACTGACTGACCATTTGTCCAAAGGATCAGTTGTTTTCTGGTATTCATTAATTCATCTTCGAGTCATACTTCATATGCGATGGTTATTTATTGTGTTCAGATGCGCTGACAAAAATAATCGGAGTCGAACTCATACATCTGAGATCTAGTAGCCAAAAAGAAAACCAGACACCTTAACCAGTACACTACCGTTCAACTTATCTTGGTCATTTAAAGTATTGTGCGAAAGGAGTACCAAAAATCACTGTGAGGATTGTTCTTAGATAAAAATTCATAAATTTCACCGCTGACAGACAAAAGAGAGCTATCAACGATGAATCAGAAAAAATTTCAATAGCAAAAGGAAGAAGTAAAATTATTAAGTCAACTAGTGAGTTACAGGTTTGAATCAAACTATGCCTACGTTACTTTCGCAAATTCAAGTCAGTAATTGGTAATTGGCATAAACGATGTTAACGCGGTCAAATATATAAACTCTTATTCGGTACACAAGTCATACGATTTATATTGACCATATTTACAAATAGTAGTACTGAGAAAGTAGTTGATTGTAAGGGTGTTGGGGACATTAGATCCCCAGGAACTAACTCGGAAAAGGTTCTAATTTTGCAACTTTATCCTGAATTTTTGGATTTTATTTTTTCGCGCCAAAGACGCTTAGTTGACCTTGAACTTACAATTCCCACCCGGAAAATCCTTGACTGTCATTGGTTGATGGATTATTTTAGTACGCTATTTTGTGGCTCGCCCAAGGACGTTTCTATCATTGTATAAATAAGCTTGAGTTGTGTGCTTAGCAACCTCGTATTTTCTGGGTGCCTGTAGAATACATTCTCTACGCCTTATCAAGACTTCTTCCTCTAATTAGTGGGGCTTGGGACGATCGGATTAGAGTAGCCTATCATGTCGCTGAATCATTTATTTCGCTCCATTTACCGAATATCAAACTGACGAATATATCAAAAAGAGATCATATTAAGGATAAGAAGAGTAAAATAACTATCGATTCCCTTCAGGTTTGAACCAAATATATATTATAACGTCCATCCATGAATAATTGAACAAACAGAGGATAAGCATATAAGAAGTGAAGATACCAGAGGGTGTTTGATTTGTATGACAATGTGACCAAATATTGTGTCTTGAACAAAATCGGGTTACATTTATACAAATATATACAGACTAAAATATTTTCTTTTTGTCATGATGTAACAAAAAGAATCAATACATAGATTTTAGAACTTACATAATCGAATCGGATTTTAAATCCAACAATCCAAATAGAAAAACAACAATGCCCAATATTGCAATCGGTAGAAGCCATGCTGTATAGAAACCAAGCCAAGCAAAATAAAAAGCCACAGCTTCACCGAAATAATATCTGATTTGAAATGAAAAATGGAAGAAACGATTAAATTATGGTGAACCCAACCTTTTTTAGTATAACGTGATGTATAGAGGTTGTGGAAGTTTCATAGTTTAAATCATAAACAAATCTTAACTAAACTACTAATTAAAACCTGAAATCACTAAACGAATGTTTCTTTCCAGTATAAGACTCTTCAAAAGTGCGCATCCATGAACTTACATCCAGGAATAGGATACAAATGGTTAGCTTCTAGAACGCTAAGCCAAGATCTAGTGCTGGATGCGTTTAACTTGGATGGAGTCTCGGTCTTCGATGGAAGTATATTTAAGATAATTTGGTGATTTGAACTGTGAAAATCCCAACAACAAATAACTAACTGCGGGATGCAAATCCTGAGATTTTAGTGGGAAGCTGTGACCAATGATCTTCAACCATGTCAAGAGTGAGATAGTTATCCACTGCAGGCAACGGATAAAGGCTTTGCAATATCGTAAATTGACAAAAGTTAGACAGGTAAACCACTGGTTGCCATCTCAGTGGCCTAGAGTTTAGACGTTTGTGTGATAGACCGATATTTCTGGGGCCAGGTCCGGATAGTATTTATTATACAGAAACGAAACGGCTGTTTAATGCTTCCAAGTGATTTATCTAAAATTTGTTCATGACATTTTCCCTAAATGTCGCGGTACGACCAAGATTGGGAAGAGTTCGCTCTCCTTCTCCAAATGCACTCACATGTTTACGTGCTTATAGCTACACATGGCCTATGAGCCTATTCTTGATCAGCGGATATTATAGGACTGAATCACCTAACGTTGCTTCACTGCCTTATGGATTGGACCTGCAGGTCAAATGCACCGGGAGTGATCCTTTAGGAAAATCACCTGCGCCGGTTCGAACAGTCGAGTAGTGTCTTGACTCACACACTAATTCATTGATTTGTGTGATACATAAATATTTGTGTTCACCTACGTACCAATAATTATGCGCCTAAATATTTACAATGTTCATGATTTGGGCTATGATAAATTCAGTTATCTTACAATGTTACACGATAAAGTGTAAATTTTTGTAAAAATTTTATCCGACAGACAGACTCCTCAGGAATTATTCAAACAGTTCGTATAGTAATCGATTACTTTTTAAATAATAAACAAAGTTGAACAACACAGGGTTCTTGAATATTTACAGCTACTTTGTGATTTACCTAGAAGTACATCGTTAGTTTATGAATTTATATATGTCACAAAATAAATAGAGTATGCAACTTCAAATATAGCTCATTACAGAATCACGAAGTTATGTGTCGTACAAACCCGTTTCTTCTAATGATCGAAGTTCAATTTTCACAGTTATAACAAGAATTTGGTCAATTAGGGCTACATTCAACAATGTTTCTAGATATTGGTGATCAAAATCTAGTACAGAACTATTTAGAGATGTTGCTTACTTACTCGCCTAAGTAAATTTTGCAATCGATGTCACATATAAATGTGTAACAAAAGAACATTCATTTCAATATCATCGTTACTAAGGATTTCTAGAATCCATAAAATGGTCTTCGTCAAGTGTACAGATATAACAGTGAGTCATATCAGCAGAACAAAGCTGATGGATTACTTATAAAAAAAATTCGGAAGAACTATTCTCACTAATATGAAGTAACATTACTTCATGAAATTGAAAGATTTATTTTGAATTTCAAAATATAAAAACAAAAAGAATATTCAACTACTCACACTCACTCACCGAATATAACTGATAGGTTGACATTTAAATAACATTTTATATGAAGCCCAATAACGTTGAAGTAAAATTCGATTATTAAATTCAGTCGGTGGTAAAGTACTACCAGCAGGCTATAAGTAAATACAAATAAATAACTAAACTAAAGATGAATTTTTGTTATGAAATAAGTAAAATTTACTCATTGAATAGTGGTGATAAATGATTTACTGAAAGAGTTGTACGGTCAACCACTTAACTAAACAGATGGTTCTTAAATATGACATCTTGTTGAGAGAATAGTCTAGAAAATCCTTAGAATAAATAGATTGTAGCTAATAATGGGATCCAATACACGTCCTAGTTGGGATTTGTTAGGTTGGATAAGCTTGGACCTCAGTGTTAATATTTACATTGGGGGATATAAGAAAATTGTGAACATCGGTACACACAACTTGATGTACACTTGTTATTGGATTCAAACAGGCATCAGTGATAAGTTAAGACAGTAACTTCAACTATGGAAGAAAGTTTTTTTCGGGTTCGTCACTAAGTATGCTTGAGACTATTACGAGTTTACCTTAGTCGATAAACGCGAACGAGACAATTACCAGCGTCCAGATAGGCTACCTTGAATCCCAAGCTGTAAACAGAAGGCTTTGTAAGCGTAGAAAGTATATTCTACAAACACCCAGCAATCACAGTACAATCAAGTATACAACTCTCGTTTATTTATACATCATAGAAATGTCGTTGGGACAGTCACAAAAATAGCACACTAAAATACACAGCAGCCAAACACAGCCATGGATTTTCCTGGCGGGAATCGAAATCTCAAGGTCAACTGATAAACCCATGCTGACAAACGTGAAAACCAAAATAAGGCATTTATCAAGCGAGTTTTGGCGATCTAACATCCCCAACAGTTTTATTAGATGGACAAATGCACCAAGATTTGAAAATATGATTTTACAAATCTTGAATTACTGATCGAGCCTTACTGTATGCCCTTGCTACATTCTGTGGATTCGAATCTCGTATAGTCGAAGCCAAAAGTGCCGGATATTGAGGAATACCCAACCTAAAATGAACTAATCATACAGTACATTCGATGATGTTGCAGTACTACACATCAGTTGAAATCATTTAAAGTGTATATATAAAAAGATTTTACTCTTATGTGATATTCAGTAATAGTAAGATTCATGAAGTTTTTTAAAAAAAAAACTAATGAAAACTGTGTTCACCAGTAAGTAAGTAAGGTGTCTAATTACACTGGAAAAAGAAATAACATCATGATTTCTTACTAAAAAAAATAATAAATAAAATGTAAACAAAATAATCAAATGATAAACAAAATCAGTATTGAATACTACTGTTTATCGTTATGTATTCGCTATGAAAGTAAACAACGCATGAAATGAAAATTTGTAACACTTATGAAAATGAAATAATTATTTACTAAAAAAATTAACAAACTAAATGACATGATGAAATGGTTATTGATGATTAATTTTTTGCGTATAAGCAAATGACTCTGTAAAATAACCAAAAAAACTTGAAGGTTGTAGTTAAAGTCACATTTTCAATGTTCAAGTATTGTGCGTGTTATATTGAACACATTGATTCATTTTCCCGTCCAGTAAGTAGGTTAATGTTGTTTATCAAAGTAGACATTTTCAGCAAAGATGTAACTGGCAATAGAATTGAGTGCATTTTATTCTGTATGTTGAGTTGTACCATACAGGCACGTTTATAGAACACAGCTCACACACATAATTCCAGACGCTTTAAATGAAACCTTTAGTATTACAGGGGTTGTGAAGATTGTTAAGTTACACATTTTTGAAACCATGAATCGATCAATGTTAGACCATCATTAGAAACCTGGAAGCACTGAAAGACGGCCGTTTCGTCCTGGTATGGGACTACTTAACAGTAGTGCGCATCCACGACTCCTGCACCCCACAGGATTCGAACCCAGGACCTTCGGTATCGTGCGCGGACGTCCTGACCGTTAGATCACTGAGCCGACATCTAACGAGGTTAATGTCTAACTTGATCAAATTCACGGAGTTGCGCAACCTCATACACTGTCTTCGGTAGTTACTGTCTACACCCGAAACCTTTAGTGAAAACTACAATTCAATATACAATATTCACCGGTAAACAGAACAAAAATATTGCCGACAGTATTGTATATAACGCACAATACTTGGACATTGAGAACGTGACAGATAACCTCAGGTTAAAATGAAATGAGTATTCATTTAGAAACATAAAACAACGATACACAAAAACATAAATATTGACAATTAAACACCAAATTTGTACATATACACATACACCCAAAATCAAAAAAAATATTGAACAGTTGTTAGTGCATGAGTGTATTGACACACATATAAGGTTATTAACATAAATTGTTTTGAATATATATATATATATCACTGATAAACAACCTAAATAAAAACATGAATGATCTAAGGAAAAGTTTTAAAAGTGCTAACATACAAAGAATATTTAATACTCATATGTCATTAGAAGGTAAATGATAATGTTTTAAACATTAGACTGAAGTTGCCATTGACAATTATGCCATGAAGAGAGTTCGTTGAAGGGTAACTAACTTCGTCTTGTTTGGCCTTAAATGAATGCTTTGTATTTAGGTTATAAGATTAAAAGTAGACTATTCTGGAAATATGTTTACTGCTAGTGGGCATTCATTAGTACGATGCATTTGTAATCTTCACTCGATCGTCGATCCTGCCTTGACGTGGTGGCCGAGCTTGCCTATTGTGATGACCCAACCGAGCTATATTGGCTGGAACTTATGTTCCTGAAGGTTCTACCATGCCAGGCAGGTCGATTGGAGAACGATGAGACTAAAAGTAGCAACTTAAGGTCCGAGGGCGAAGTCGTACTGCTGACTGTAGAGAGATGTGATAGCAGTAAAGGTGTTTCCCTCGGACGATCAGCATCCACAGCGATGCTGCCTTCTCACAAGGAAGGAAGGGATAAGAAAAGGTCGACCCTAAAAATTTCACACCTCACCTTACCTCACGGATTTCCGTCTCCGGCGATAGGGGCTTTTAAAAAAAACGGAACAAATACTTTAAAAACTCATAAAAAGGCCGTGCGTGACCGGCCTCAAGCAGTTGTTCCTTCGGCTCTGCGGTCACACTTCCAGGTCTCTAAGACCAACACTAATTTACCTTCCTTTTCAGGTTCCTCAAGAAACACCCTTCCACGATATGGGCAGCATGGAAGTGACATCCGCCCTCATACCCGTAACAGCACACGAGACCGAATCAGTCCTTAATCAAATCCATAGTCTTTGCAATCTTCAGAGAAACAGTGTTGTTTTAAGAATGGATAAAATGGCATTTTTTAACTATTCAGTGATCATTGAATGTTAACATGGTAATCTTACAAGATGTAATAAAGCATATATATATATATATATATATATTGCACCATTGAGAACGATTTTGAACTGCAGGGCTCAAAATTATTTACAAATGGTGCAGACGCATCCGTTCTTTGTCTTCCCATAAATATTAAACTTTTGAACCAATCACAATATGAAATATACATTATTTCCTTATTGTTACTACATTAATTTGATTTCTCCATTAATGATCCTATTAATTTTATCTCATTGTGTTGGCAGGTATACATGGGTCAACTCATATTTGTGACAATCGTTGTAGATTATAACTGACTATAGTAAAATCTGTGATGTGACACTAGTTGACACAAGTTGAAATCCCAAAAGAATCACCAGTTTTTATATATATGTCTGTTTTGCCCGTAATATTTTGAATTTGTTTATTAATGGAAAGTTGAAAATGACAAACGAAAGTGGATTGGTCCGAATCCTACCAAATTAACCGTGTTTCACTAAGGATGAAAAAATAATCTCTACAAACCAAATGTTACAAAGTTACAATTTTGTAGCACTCTATATGTAATCTGTCAATAAGAATTTATTTTTCCCAGCAAAAGATATAACCACTCAATATAAATAACTATATCACATGTAAACACAAATTATAGAAGGAATTCGACGAGAAAGTGAATACAAGTATTGAATGTCGATCGATCTATCCACACAAACCACTACGTAGTATAGTTGAATGTCATTTGGATTGGCTAACCGATCTTATCACAATATATTAGTTGGCAGTAATTTCAAAATTTAAATTTAATGCAGACCAGCAACGATGTGTTGAAATCATCAATTAATCATTGTTAGACCACCATTAGAAACCTGGAAGCACAAAATACCAAGATCAATCAGACTTAGACAATAACACCGTTCGATACCGGTTCGGTGGTCCAATGGTTAGACGTTCGCGCACATTACCAAAGGTCCCGGGTTCGAATCCTACGGGGTGCAGGAATCTTGGATTTGTAACACGTTGGTGAGAGCAGTTTTTCCATGTGATTATGAAACCTAGCCGAATCGGCGAATCTCATGGTTAGATCATGATCGTGTTATAATGACTGCTGGCAGTCTGAGGATAAAACTATATTGGTAATGCTGAAACTCAACAATTCGACTTCGATAGCATACGCAAAAATTTTGACTGGTATTACTATACTGATACATTGATTTCGGTGGCTTAGGTATATTTTTACGAGTTTTATCCACATTACGAATTGTTTCCCTATATGGATTAGGTAGAAAAAATGGAGGTGGTCAGTTTATAACACATAATCATGGTATCAGAGGGAGTTGTACAAGACTGGTGGAATAAGTCAGGCCTAGAAATCATGAAACGCAGTTGGCTTGAGATATTATCGAACATCGTATTCAGGAGAAGCGAATAGTGATACTTTAGTGAAGGAGAACACAGGTGAGGGCAACCGAATTGTATTTAACGAAAATTACAGAGTTACTCAGTAAAATCGGAAAACCATATCGTGTTAATCGTTCATTTGCAAAATAACAGTTCATCATATCGAACTGGACTGTTCCTGTTGCAAAACATCAATCCATTGTCACTATTCATGCGTTTCATACAAATTTAACTATGTTCCCACTCTTCCTTTCTTGATCTTCCCCCATCTTCTGCTACCAGACATTACATTGACACTCACGTCATATACTACTTATAAGTAGCTCACA